GGTTACGAATCGGGCTGCTAACCTCAAGGTCAGCAGTTCGAAACTACTAGTGATTCCGTGGGAGAAAGATGAGGCTTTCTGCTCCGTAAAGATTTACAGCCTCAGAAACCCTATAAAGGGTCACTAAGAGTCAGAACGAACTCCATGGCACACCACCACCACCCACGCATGCTCTATAGCATTTTCAAGGCTGTAAATTTTTACGAGAGCAAAGGGCCTCATCTTTTCCCAAAAAGACATCTATATACATTTCAATTTCATTTTATAAAATTCCCTGTGTGCGCCTCGAGCTCTAAATGCTTAAGTAACAATTTCCCAGATTGAGTTATCATTACAGCTCCTAGTGACAGAACACAGATTCGCAACCGGAAAAAATATAATGTGCAGTTTTATCATTATTAAGTATAAAAAAGCAAAACATTCTTGGGAATGCATATTTTAATGGGTGGAACTTTTTGTTTCGTTTCATGTTTTCCAATTCATTTAAATATCTGTGGACAAATATAAGTCAGTGCAAAGACAAGACACAGGAGCCCTTATGGTTCATTGAGTTGGACACTGGGTTGCTAACCACAAAGTCTGGCGGTTCAAACCCACCAGCTGCTCCCATAAAGACCTACAGTCTCAGAACCCGTCAGAAGCACTTGTACTGTCTTTGATAGTCACCCTGTGTGACAATGTGTTTTTCGTATAAGACAGAAGTGAGCATCCGTTTTCTTTGCTTTTCTTTTTCACATAAGCAAAGGGGAAACATGATTGTATCACTGAAGAGCTAAAATAGAACAATGTTTTGTTATAGAATATTGTCACACTGTTACTTGAACTCTTTCCAAATTATATCTTCCAAATCTGAGAGTGGTCCATGATGGAAAAATGCTTCTAAGGATTTCTTCATGAATAATTCGGTTTGGTCCCTCTTCAAAGAACCGTGTCTGATTGGCTATAGGATCTGTGCCCAGTAGTCCCAATCTTTCGATTTCCCCACACCAGCAACAACAGCTCAAGGGTCTCTCTGTTTTAAAAGAGGAGGTTTGCTACCCAGAGGCAACAGGACAAGGTAAGACTGTGTCCTCCTTTGACAGGGCAACTTTGCAAGGAAGGGTGGGAAAGAGCAGCTGGCTTCCAGGGCATTCTCACAGCGAGCAGTCTGAGAACAGAGAACCTAAGCAATCTGAGGATCTGGACACTGATTTTGTTAGCACTACCCGCGGAGTCCTGATGTGGCGCTGTAGGATCAGCACTGGATTGCTCGCCATGAGGATGGCAATTCAAACCCACCAGACACTCCTTGGAAACCGTATACAGGATCGCTATGATTCAGAACCAACTTAACGGCACTTAACAACAGCCCATGGAGCCCTGGCAGAGTAGTGGGTTATGAATTGGGCTGCTAGCCACAACATCAGCAGTTCAAATCTAGTAGTCACTCCATAGAGAAAGATGAAGCTTCTGCTCCTGTAACGATTTGCAGCCTCAGAAACACATTTGCTATGACTCAAAAAGGACTCCACGATACATCACTGCCACCACCACCCATAAATTAGTAACTCTGAAGGCACAAACCGTTAAGGGCATAGTTGCTGAAACCAATAAATCGGTGACTCAAACCTACCCAGAAGCACCGCCTAAGAAAGGCCTGGCAATCCGCTTAGGAAAGGTCACAGCCATAAAAGCCTTTGGAGCACAGTTCTCTTCTGCACACATCGGGTTGTCACGAGTTGAAATTGATTTGGCAGCAACAGGTTTGGGTTTTATTTGTTTGTTTGTTTTATCCAGGTGCCTGCATCCTACTTAGAAAGTTTTCCTGTACTCTCATGAACTCTCTGGTACACGGGTCCCAGTCTGAAGGCTGCCGGCCTAGTTGACCTCTGGGAGTTCCCGCCCAAGGCCTATTTTTCCAGATCACAAGAGGGAAAGACACCAAACTCTGAGCAACTGACAGAGAAAACTATATATGATGCATCTCGCGGTGTGGCTGACACGATCAAAAGACACTGGCCACCTACAGTGTACTCATGCTGGGAACACGAACTCTGAATTCATCACGCCTCTAGTGCCAGCTCCCAGTTAACAGGAAACACAAGGGATAAAGCAATCTGCCAGCTCCAGAACCTAGGACAGTCTATACAGACAAATGTCCCATGTCTCCAACAAACGGCTGAGGGTGTGTGTGTTTGGGGGAGTGGGGATGGAAATGGGCCTGTTTAAAAACAAAAGAGACTGAAAAGACATAACAAATTAACAAGTTCAATGTGAAGACCTTGTTTGGATCCCAATTTTAGCAAAACCATTTCAGAAGAGGCAGAATGGAATTTGAATACAGACTGAGGGTTTGCTAAATTATATTAAGGATTACCGTTCATTTTGCCAAATGTGATAATGACATGGTGATTAGATTTAGAAAAAACAAGTCTTTCGTTGGAGACACACACTGAACATACAGGTGAAACGGTGTAATGGCTGGAATTCGCTTTTAAAAAATCTTCTAAACTCACAAGATTGTTGTTGTTGTTAAGTGCCGTAGAGTCGGTACCGACCCATAGCGAACCTGTATAAGGAGCAGCTGGTGAGCTTGAACTGTCGACCTTGCAGTTCAAATGGCTTTGCAGTCTGACACATTAACCCACAGCGCCACATCAGGACTCCCAAGATTAGACAACGATAAATGAAATTAGCAAAATGTTCATCAAGACGGAAGTGGGTAATGGGTACCTGAAGACACGTCATACAATTATCACCACTTTTTTTAAAAGTTTGGAAATTTCTATAACAAAAAATCTTCTAAAAGTAATGAAAGAGAATATTTCATTAGCAGCATGGTGATGGTGGTTATGTACCGTGGAGTCGGTTCCGACCATAGCAACTCTGTACAGGGTTTCTGAGGCTATGTATCTTTACGGGAGCAGAAAGCCTCATCTTTCTTCCATGGAACAGCTGGTAGTTTCGAACTGCTGACCCTGAGGTTCACAGCCCGATTCATAACCAATACGCTACCAGAGCTTCTTGCAACTAACTATATAAATTCTAAATAGCACTGCATTTCACAAGAACTGAGACAGTTACCAAACCAACCTCCTTCACAATCTCAAAAGAGGCAGAGCCACTCAATAAACTGGACATTAACCCAGGTTGGGGGTAATGGAGCCACGAGAACCTTGTTGTATCTAAGCCACCTGGGGGCCGAGAGTGGAGACACCTTCCTTGGCAGAAGAGAGTTAGAATAACGTGATTCATTCCTCAGTCTCGCACCACATGCTACTTACCCCTGCAGCAAAGCCAAGGCTTCCATCTAAGATCCGCCTCTGAAAATGAAAAGGAGACGTTTCAGTGTCTGAAGGACAAAGCATGTTTCCTATGGCCAGAGGAGGCCTCAAAGCCAGAATTCAATGCATAAAGTCCACTCCTGAGTTTGTGAACCTGGCAGGAAGCCAGAATCCAAGCCTTTATAACAGGGGCCCGTCCTCCATAAATCCCACAGACTGGCAAGTGTTCGTTCTGGGTGGTGTTCAGCTTGCACTGAGCTATCTCTTACCAAGTTTCCCGTGGTGGTGGCAGTAGTGTGCCATGGAGTCAGTTCCAACTCGTAGTGTCCCTGCATAGGGTTTCTGAAGCTATAAATCTTTAGGGGAGCAGAAAGCCTCATCTTTCTCCAGATAGGCTGGTAGATTTGAACTGTTGACCTTGCAGTTAGCAGACCAACTCGTAATCCACTATGCTACCACGTTCCTTCTTTAGCAAGTTTGTTGTTAAGTGCTGTCGAGTTGGTTCTGACTCACAGTGACCTTGTATAGGGAGGGTTTCCAAGGAGCAGCTGGTGGGTTTGAACTGCCGACCTTGCAGTTTGCAGTCCAACACTAATCGCAGCAGTTGTCCTAAGAGATGGGAAGTCCTAAGTATCAGCAAGCAAGCAAAGCCCTCACACAGCGCAGGTGGGTGTGCAAGCTGGCCCAGCAAACGGCTTTGGGAAGCTATCTGGCAGCATCAATGAGAGCTGAACATATGTACTCTCTCTAGCCCAGCAAGGCCACTCCAGACTGGCTACCTCCCATCCATGCATACTTGGAGTCCACAAGCCCACGGACTAGAATGTTCACAGTAGCGCTCCGTGTGAGAGCCAAAACCAGAAAGTAGTGAATGCTCAATAGCAATTCTTTGGATACATCCGTTAGGACACAGCCCTGTAGGGCATGCAATCTAAATACTGGGGCATGCTGGGAAATTCCCAGGAAGCAATAACCCTGACACAAAAAGATACAGTACAGGATGGTCCATATGTCAAGTTCAAATGCAAGACACACCAATCGCTGTTGTTAGAGAGGAGAAAGGTGGTCATGGCTGCGGTACCAGGTGGAGAGTGGAAGGAGGTTAAGCAGTGGGGTGGGGGATGGAGGTTGGGTGAGGGGAGGTTGGGGCATAGGTTGGGTGGGGTGGAGGTTGGAGGATAGGATGGATAAGGTGCAAGTTGAGGAATGAGTTGGGTGCAGGGGACAGGCTGGGTAGGGGAATAGGTTAGGTAGGGGAATGGGGGGAGGGGGCATTGGGTTTCAGGTCCAGAAGGGAAAAGCTTTAAGAGTATATTGTTGTTGTTAAGTGCCATCGAGTCGGTTTCAACCCATAGTGACCCTGTATAGGGTTTCCAAGGAGTGAGTGGTGAGCTTGAACCACTGACCTGTACAGTCCAGCACATTAAGCCACAGTACCACACAGGTGCTGAAAACCAGAGACATTGGTTTATTACAGAAAAGGAAATAAATGTGAGTAAGGGAGCTGGCTTACGGACAAGGGAATTTACCTACAAAGAATAAAACACAGCTGCGTGCACTGACAGCTGGCTGGATCATCAAGTTTTACCACACGAGGGACAGGGACTAAGGTCTTTTATATCATGGGGTATTTATAAGTGTAAGGACAGTTAAGGGTGGTTTGTGAACTTGAAAACCACTGGGCAGTCTGTTCCCTCTTGAGATCGAAGAGTTTTAGGAGGAGAAGGCAATCACAGTGTGAGGAGGGGCAGTGGGCTCCTTCCAACATGTACAGAACTCAAGCCGAACAAGACAGCTGGAGGAGGGGCTGCCCCTTCCCAAACAGTAGGAGCAAAGGGAAGAGACGTTGTTGTTAAGTGCCATGGAGTCAGTTCCGATCCATAGTGACCATGTATAGGGTTTCCTTATAGTTCAAACTAACCTTGCAATCCAGTGCATTATCCTGCTGTGCCACAACAGGACTCCAGAGGGAAGAGCTAGAAGATGTTTAGATGTGACCTTGGCATGGTCATTGTTGGGTTTCAGTTTGGGTCCAGCAAATCGGGCTGCAAACCGCAAGGTGAGCAGCTTGCTGTTCTGTGAGAGAAAGATGAGGCATTCTGCTCTCGTAAAGATTTACAGCCTCGGAAACCCTGTACAGGGTCGCTGAGTCAGAACCAACTCCACGGCACACAGCCACCAGCCACCACCACAGGGGGATAGGTTGGGGGATGGGGAGACAGAGACTGATGGAGCCCTGAAACTATGGCCCTTGGTCACGCTTCAGGTCTGGTACTCAATTCACCCCCGTGGCTCAAGTTTTAGTCACGTAATAGGTACATAGGAGGGACAAGTACACAAAGGAATCACACACACCAGAGAATGGTCAGCTATTCAGGATCAAAAGGGCAACATTTCCCCAAGGACACAAATCAGAAGGGTGGGGAAGAAAGGAGGAATGGAGACAAGAATCACAGGAAGGAAGTGGAATATGTGATGTTGTGTTCAAAAGCTTGCAATCCTGAGATGAAAGGAAATGTGCAATCTGTTGAATGTACGACTACTGATGTGCTCTGTAAACCTTCATTCCATTCACAATAAAATGTGAAGAAAAAAAACATTTAGGGGCATCATTGTTGTTAAGTGCGTAGAGCTGGTTCCAACCCATAGAGGCTCTATGTAGGGTTTCTGAGGAGTGGCTGGTGAGCTTGAACCACCAACCTTGCAATTCAAAGAGAATTTGCAGTTGAACACATTAACCCACAGCCCCATACCAGGACTCCATTTAGGGACACGGTGGTGGTGGTTATGTGCCATGGAGTTGGTTCTGACTCATAGCAATCTTGTGCAGGATTTCCGAGCTTCTTATTTAGGGATGTAGAGGATGTTTATAATATCAGGTGAGCAAAGCTGGTTACAAAACATTATGTACAAAAATTTCCCTAACATCTTGAAAAGTGAAAAGATAAGCATTCAAGAAGGTCAACGAACCCCAGGAAGGATAGACCCTAAAAGAAAATCTCCAAGACATATAATAATCAAGCTCTCCAAAATCAAAGATAAAGACAGAATCCTGAAAGCATCTAGGGAAAAGAGAAGTGTAACATACAAAGGCAAGCAAATCACATTAAGCTTGGATCTCTAAACAGAAACCATGCAGGCAAGAAGGCAATGAGGAGACGTATAAAACCCTGAAGGGAAAAAAAACTGCCAACCACGAATCCTCTACCCAGCAAAGCTGTCAATCAAATATGATGGTGTAATCAAAAAATTCCAGGATAAACAGACACTAAGGGATTTTGCCAACGCCAACCCTGCTGTGAAAAACATCCTAAAGGAAGTTCTGTGGACTGAGAACCAACAAGAACAGACAAGAACTAGAAAATGACGTACGTGGCAGTGTCACCCTGAACTCAGTCGACAAATGGAATAGTCAAGAACAGAATAAAATTATAAGAACAGAGGACCTGGGCAGTCAGTCTATGATCAAAACAATTACAATGTGAAAGAAGGTAAACACAGATGAACAGAGATCCAGGTGGTGAGAAGGTCAGGTAGATTACAGGATAAAATAGACTGTCTTAAGTGGAGGGAAGAGTTAATGGAATATAAGGTAATCACAACAGTGGTGTTGGGGTTGAGGGTTTAGTTCAGATGTTGGAGGGGGCAATTCAAGAAGGGGAAGGAGGCAAAAGAACAAGATAGATAGGGGAACACTGAGACCGGTTTGCATGGCCTAGTGGGGACAGAGGTAAATAGTGATGCATACTCAACCTTGGAACAGCAGGGCTCTGGGATACAGGGATCTAGGCATAGTTTGAGGGAAAATAATACTAAAATGCTTGACTGTCTTATGAACATTGGTTTCTCTTGCCTACTATTGTAAAATATACCCTTGAGTGGGATAGAAAGGAATGTTGGGAAACATGATTACAGAAAACTTGTAAGCCCGTCTTCAGCCTATATAACTGCTTGGAATACCTAAAAGGGGCTCGAGAACTTGCCCAGTGAAATAGGCAGCAATGAAGAAATGGGCTGAGTTCAACCACAGTCCATTGACTCCCATTGACCTGGAGATGAGAGAGAGAAGAGGAAGG